ACACACACACTCACTCTGCCTCGCTATCTGTGTGCCACTGACCATTTCCATTGATCCTAGGCAATAAGAAAATGCAAAACAACATCCATTTAATGCAATTAAACACTTTTATGATACATTTTGATGATAAACTTTGATTGTTTTCATGCAAAAATGGGAATTCTGTCATTATTTACTCCCTCAAACAGTAGTGTGCTACACTGTGGTCACATGAACTCAAAATGTGCATTTTGTAATGGCATCAAGTCATAATTTTTGAACTAAACAGTTATTTTGTATTTTTAATCCTATTTCATGTAAAAATGTCTTCATATCTTGCAGCTTTTGCAATGAAAACATTAAACGTCAAGTGCATTGTATTGTGGAATACTGTATTTCTAGCATTCCTGCAGTGTGCTTTGTGTTTGTTTACATTATGATAAATGTTATAGGAGTGTGTGTATACAGTCCACAGTATACATTCTGTAAAAAGTAGTATAGTAGTATTCCATTCCCAACCAAAAAAAAGTTCAAATGAATGATTCACTCACAAATTACATTACTATTTGAATTATGTTGCCTTATGTTTTCATAGCCTATTCATAGTTGTGAATTCAGTGATTCACTGCTAAAACGCGGTGCAGGATACACTGGTGTATGTTGTGTGTGTGTGATGGTATGTGACCAAACGGATGATCTCAAGCAGGTGTGGGGTCGCTCAGTCTCTTCAGGTCATTACACTGACCTCTGACCTTTCTCTTGCAAACCCTAACCGGTGAGGTATTCTGTCTCTGTCTCACACAAATACAAGATCTGTTCCAAAATATATTCACCTGTATAATATGACTTTACACACACTAAACAGTCTAAATCAAATTAATCATTAAATTAAATTTATAATTTAAATATATTAAAAACCTTGTATTTAATACTTTTTAGTATAAAAAAAAAAAAATATATATATATATATATATGCAAGTGCTACTTTAATCAACTTTTCTCTTAGTTTGTCTGTCATTGTTTTAATTTTAGTCATTAAATAAAAAATAAATTTAAATGTAATTTTAAATTAAATGTTAAATTAATTTTTGATTACATTACATTTAAATAAAATTTTAATTACAACCTTTTATTAAAACTTTTTGGTGATATTTATATATAAATATATATAATATATTTATATATATATATAAAATCAACCTTTCCTTAGAAATTTGACCGATATATCTACAGTAACTTTGATTACTGCCTTGAAATGCCTCCAGCATTGGCAGCCACTGGGTTTGGAAACATAGCCGTTGTCCAGGCTTAAACTGTTTATGCTTTTATTAGTTTCAGTGCTATTGTCAGTGCTATTTAGGTGATCACTGTATTCGAAAGCATGCGTGTGTTGTTCAGACAGCTGAAGGTCTATTTTTGCTGCTGATTCTTACACCTCCACATTTGGATGATCACCACCTCGCTTTATGACACACACCACATAATGGCAGCGACAACACACTCACCTCTCCTAATAGCATCAAATCACACACTCACACCAACCGAAAGCTGACAAACGCTCCTTTAACAGACTAACGCATCCCTCCTGTCAGCTGTGAAAACAGGAGCAAACATTTGGAAGATGAGTTTGTAGCGTGGGCCGGGTAACAGATGGAATGGATTGGCGGGTGTTAGTCAGGGTGTCGCTGCCATTATGGCTTTAGTGGGGAATGTGCGTTTGCTGATTTTATGCATTGGATTTGTCATTTGAGCATCACAAACAGTCATAAAACAAGTGAAAACACTGTAGTTCTGTACAAAGCTGCTTACCTAGAGAGCATTTTAAAGCAACATGAAATGGTGTTCACAAACTATTTTGCTTCTGTATTGTGATGCATTTCCAAGTCAAATAGGATGTTCAACAAAATAATGTAGGGTGGGGCTTGGTTTAGTCTGAAGGGAATGATTGCATTGAGAAAAGTGCTTATAGGGGAATTATTGCAATATTTATAGGAGTTTTTAAACTTTAATGAACAATTACAAAGACATTTTTACTATGTAATGGCATGCACCAGTGAAATGAAAACGTGAAGTAAAAATGAAATTAGTAAGCAGACTGTTCCAAAACCTCATTTACTTGCCATATTGGATACCTTGGTTACTTGGCAAACCCAGAATGCATTGCAAGTTGACAGAAATGTTGTCTAATAAATTTCATTCAGTATTGATTGATAAAGAGAATTTGATTATGAACTATTTTGAAGACATTTTCCTGTGTGCATTGCATTTTTTTTTTTAGTTTGGCAACATGCTAACATACATTAGTTGTAACAACTTGAAAAAATTCTGTTTGTGATTGACTTCAAATGATTAATTTAGATAACTTTAGTTAAGTTGGAAATGTAAGTTATCTCAACAATTTTTAAGTTGAAACAACACATTATTACTTATTTTAGTGTTGAATTTTAATTTGTGATAACTAATCGCAGCAATCATTTTTTTTACTGAGTACAAATATCTAAAATTTTTCAAACACTAAGTCTTAATACCTAACTTTACTAATTTTATATAAGAATCTTATCAAAATTAATTGAGTTTTTGACTTGCGTAAGAAAATTATCTGCCAAGAATGGCTTAAGAAAAATAGAAAAAATACAAATCTTGTTTTCCATTCGAATTAAGTTCATTTTTCTGTCCCTATCTGCAGATATTTGTTTTTAAGTTTTAAAGACTTAAGTTTTAAGACTTAATGTACTGTATTGATGTAAGTATGTTTAGATATTTGTACTGGAAAACAAAACAAGACAAGTTCAAGTAAGAAAATCATTTTCTTGCGGTGTTTTCACAATCTGAATGTTTCAGGAGTGAGTTTGGTTGTAGCTTCAGTAAATATCTGAACTCTGTGTACAGAACAGGGTCAAGTGTTTAGAGAAGGAGTGACAACCGTATTTAACAGAGGTGAGTATTTGGCCTATGTAGGTGGGAACAAAGCTTGTGTGTTTTTGTCTTTACTTTAAAAGGTTCAGCTTCATTTGGACTGAGTTTGATATGGGTTAAAGGTCAACCTAGTACAAATTGGAAGAAGAGTCAAAGGTCAAAGCTTAAAGATGACCTCCATCGCCGCTCATTATGTTTGGGAGAAGTGTGTGTGAGTGTGTTTTACAGATTTACTGGTTGATTGGTTATCCAGAAGCCTCAGTAAGAGGGAGCGCTGTTCATTTGACCTCTTTTTCTCTTGTTTGCTTGTTTATTAGTTTTAGTTAGCTCTCTGTCTCTTTTCTTGAAGCGTTTGGGTTGTTCTGATCTGCACAGCCCGTTCTGCATTTTTATCGTAGCGTGGTTAACTGTGGTAGCTATGATACTGTAGTGTTTTTGTTGTTGTAGTAAGTAGGGCTGCACGATTATGACAAAAATCATAATGGTCGATTATTCCCTTGAAATTGTAATTGCGATTATTAATTACAATTATCACAATTTACATTGAATGATGTTTATACCATTGTTTAATGCAACTGCATGCCGTATTTTTATATGAAAATAAGCTGAAAACACTAACTGAAAAACTTTTAGTGCTTTTCTATAGTATTAAGCCTCAGATGTCAACTATACTTCGGATTGGTTTCTTCTTTAAATTAAAAAAAAGTAACAATTCGAATTGTATTATAATGTTATACTAAAACTACAATTAAAATAATGGGAAAAACCCTACCCTAAAGATAACATGTAGAAAGAAAAAAACCGCATCTTAAGCACACAGAATAACATAAGTGGACTTTGAACGATTAATTGCCGCTTTGAACGATTACGTAATTGTGGCATCCATAATTGTAATCGCGATTAGAAATTTGATTAATTGTGCAGCCCTAGTAGTAAGAATTACGTTGCTGTGTGTTTTATGCTAAAAATGTCAACAAATGTGATTGTTTTTTATTTTTATTTAGTTTTTAAATGTAATGAATTATTATTATTATTATTTTTTTTTTTTTTGCATTGTGCTGTCAATCAAACATGCATGAAAGAGTGGCTGTTTGAAATAGCATACTATTCTACTACTCATACTATTTTTGTAGTACGCACAGTATGCATTAGTGTTATTTTAGTATCATTTATTTATTTATGTATTTAATCAGTGACAATACACATTAATAATACATAAAAATCAATGTAAAATGTCCCAGATTTTGCCAATAGTGTTTTCATAGTACAGGTTTTGCTAATATTTTGAATTAAGTTTTATTTGTACATTTTCTGTTTTCACTTAATTTTACTTAATGTTTTAGTATTTTTTTAAAAATATGTCTGTATAGTATTTCTTTCTTTCTTTCTTTCTTTTTATTTGTTTTACTTTATTTGGTTTATTAAAATTTTTTTTTTTTTAAAAAGCTTTAATTTTATTTCAGTTCATTTAATTTATTTAAATATAACAACCCTGTTATGGAAACTATCTGTTTAATTGGAAAACCCGGATGACATTTGTAAGTATGTGCAGTATAAATTAGACTGGAATACTTTATCCCACAATGCAGTGTATGTACGCAACTTGACCTGTCATCTTTAACAAACTCATTATTAAGACATTTTAAGCCAAAAGTTAAGACATTTTTACACAAACACACACACACACACACACACACACACACACACACACACAAAAGATTTATAATAATTATTTATAAATTCTATAGTATATTTTTTAATATAATTATTTATTTATAATAATTTATTTCTGAGATGATAACTATGCAGCAGTGCACAGTATGCAGGAAACATGCTTGTATTACATTCAGCCGGTGTGTTTGGTAAAAAGAAGGCAAAAGGAGGGTGAGGTGAAAATATGGGGGCGAGGTCTCAAAGTGGGGGTGGGGTTTGGCCCAACTACACTGAGGCTACTGTGTGTAAGATTGTGAATATTCCCCTCCCCTCTCTCTCTCTCTTTCTCTCTCTCTCTCTCTCTCTC